GCCATGAGATCTTGAAAAGAAAGGGCAACGGGTTGATTACAAGCGATGCTTTGGATCTGCCTTGGGGATTGTCACAGCGACTCTCACACGTAGACTTCCGCTTCCATTTCATTTCTCTGCAAGTTTTCCTGCACGCTTGAAGCTTATGAAAACCCTGTGTGAGGACTCCTCCTGCGACCTTATCTTCAAGCACTCTTGTTAGTCCGCACCCCGTCTTATCAAGTAGCCAGAGTGGCTGCTGCATCACCGGTCGAGCTGTTGTCAGACGATGTTCTCTTCATTATTCTCAATCTCGTCGGCCGATCCGACGGCCAGTTCCAGCACGCGCTTGTGTGCAAGAAATGGCATCGTATCGCCCGTCGCGCGCACGACCACATCCAGATTCGCGAAAAGCGTCGCATGCGTCCTCGCGAGCTGCTCGCGCACCTCTCGTCATTCCCAAGGCTCCGAAAGCTCGTCCTCGCCTTCGGCAGCATCACGTCCGTCCCTGATTCCCTCCTCTCGGGGATTGTGGACACGTGTCCCGACCTGACGGACCTCCACGTCGATTGGATGGATCGACAGCACAGAAAGGGGGGATTCACTACGTAGGGACTGTCAGATCTCCTTGAGAGATGCACACGGCTGGAGAAACTTCATCTAGTCGAATCTGACCGCCATTCCTCCGTCAATCGGCGGCCTCGCGTCACTTAAGATTCTACAAATCAGTGACAAGTCGAGGATTGCTCGCCTCCCAGACGCGATCACCTCGTTACAGTCACTCGTGGATCTCGTGATCGAAATGTTCAGTTTGGAGGAACTGCCTCGGAACTTCGGCAACCTGAAACTGCTCAATTCGCTCCAACTGAACGACTGCATGCAGCTCAGCTCCATTCCCGAGTCTGTCGGGCAGCTTACCAACTTGACGTATCTTTCCATCAGCGGCACCAGGACAAGGCTTCAGCTGCCCGAATCCATCTCCAACCTTTCATCCCTGCTGACCCTCGAAATCTCCAACTGCCAAAACCTTTTACCTTTGCCCGAGAGTTTTGGAACCCTGCCTGCGCTTGAAACACTACGTCTGGAGGAGGTGGGGGGGATTATCAACCTGCCCGCGAGTATCGGGCAGCTGCAGCGGTTGCGGTTCCTCTCTGTAATCAACCGCGAAGAACTAATGAGTATTCCTATCTCCCTCCGCCTGCCTTGCCTAACGGACCTGAATCTCGTCGGCATGGCACTCCTGCGTTTGCCTGACGACATCGGTCAACTGCCACGCCTGCAGACTCTCACGCTGGATTTCGGGTTTCTCATGCATCTGCCGCCCTCCATCGCCCATGCCACTGCGCTCAAGCAACTCACTTCAAGTTCCACTACACCTGCCCGAGAATCTCGGGCAGCTGACTGCTCTGGAGTCCCTTCGCCTGATCAAGCTTTCGCAGCTGAGAAGCCTGCCCGCATCGCTTGGGAACCTGGCGAGCCTCAAGGAGCTGAAAATATCCGAATGTACCGAGCTGACACAGCTTCCAGCCTCCTTTACTCGGCTATCTTCCCTTGAGCTGTTGGAAATGAGTGGCTGCTGCAATCTGATTGCGTTACCGCACGGCATGGGGGATGGATTGCACAGCCTGCGCGGACTAATTCTGCTCAAATGCACGGCTCTCACCCACCTTCCTGCCTCCTGCTCCAACCTTTCCTCCCTCGAAACCTTAGAAATCCGTGATGCACTTAGCTTACGTGGCACCGTGCCAGGCGGGTTTGCTCACTGGACAAGCCTCAAGAAGCTGTCTCTCGACTCCCTGCCGCACCTGCCCGCCCTGCCTGCCTCGCTCCCTGCCATCTCCCGCACTCTCACTAGCCTCGTGCTGTCGGGCTGCAAGCAGATCAAGGCGCTGCCAGAGGAGATCGGACGGCTGGAAGCCCTTGAGAAGCTCAAGCTCTAATTTCTTGACCTGGAGTCGCTGCCTCGCTCGCTGCATCAGCTGCGGCGGTTGAAACTTCTAGAAGTGAGCTACTGCAACGCGCTGAAGTCATTGTTCGGGGATGAACGCATGGGGGAAGCACATGCAGCAGCAGCGGGGCATGACCTTGAGGGGACAAGCACCCCTCCTAGCTTGACCAGTTGCAATCGTCCCAACAGTGGGGGGTCCGAGGAGAGTGACACGAGTGTGCTGCTTCCATCACTTGAGGTCCTCAAGCTCGCGGGCCTTCCATTGCAGCAGCTCGGTCCATCACTCGGCTCCTTCCCGTCGCTAACCAGCCTAGAAATCTCGCGAATGAACAGGCTCCGCTCACTTCCAGATTCCATCTCTCGCCTCTCAAGCCTGCAGACACTCACAATCGGTCATGCGGAACGCCTGCTAGCTCTGCCTGAAACACTAGGGAGCCTGTCAGCGCTCACAAACCTCCAATTCGACAGTCTCCTGAGCCTGACTCAGCTGCCCGAGTCGTTCGGGCAGCTGAAGATGCTTCAGTTCCTGGAGATTTACGACGTTCCGGGCCTTGCCACGCTTCCCACAACCTTCCCTGATCTGTGCAGACTGGAGCTGTGTTCTTTGTGCAAGGTCGGAATCTCAAGTCTTCCTGATGACTTCTGGAAGCTATCTTCTCTTGAGGACCTCTCTCTGACCTCACTGCCTAATCTTCATAGCCTGCCCGAAAGTATTTCGCAGCTGCCCGCTCTAGAGGAGCTGCACCTGCATGGGTGCAAGCGGCTGGCTTCGTTACCCGCGGGGCTCCAGCAGATGGGGAAGCTGCAGTCATGTGTTTTCAGTGGGTGCCCGCTGCTGTCGACACGAGAGAGGGTGGTGATTTGCGGTACTTCGAACCTGGACGAGGGAGAGCGTGTGGTGGGTGGCTCGGAGGAAGAGGATGATATGGAGGTAGAGGATGGGGAGGAAGAAGATGAGGAGGAGGAAGAGGTGGAGGAAGAGGAGGAGGACGAAGAGGAGGAGGAGGAAGAGGACGAACGGGGAGAGGAGATAGGGGAGGATGACGAGGGGAGTGAAGGGGAGGAGGGAGAGGGAAGCGAAGGGGAGGGGAGTGGGGAATGGGGGGAGGATGTGGAGTGAGATGGCGATGAGGAGGAAGAGGAAGGCAAGGATGCAGAGGTGAGAGGGGAATAGCAAGGGGATGGTATAGGGAATGATATAGGAATGGCAAGTAGTTGATAAATGGAATATGTAATAGCTGAGGTGGTTGGTGGGTGGGGTGGGGGGTTGGTTAGAGAGAAAGAATTCTGCTTGTATGCAGTCCGTAGTATCATATTGTTTCATGTCAACTCAAGTTGTGGGTATGGGTATGGTAGCATAGCGTGTCATGTCATCCTGACTGGTAATGCCTAAACCATCTAGTAGTGTTGAAACACGTGTTTTGTTCTCGGTCATGAAAGAGAGTCTTTCCACTGCTCTCCAACTCCCTACCTCCTCCCCCTTGCTGTCCTCCACTCTGCCCATTCCCGCGACAATGCGTGACGCGTCAGCAGGCAACGTCACCTGCTTGGCTGGCTACATACCAGGCGCTGCAAGGTGCCCTCGCTAAGCTGGCATCCGATCCGGACTTCAGGACAAAACCCGTTCAGTCTCACAAATTTTCTGTGTTTTCGGACAGCTACTCAAAAGAATCGCGCTAAGGGGATGTTGGCAGGCCGGAAATCGAGGGTGGTGATCTATGGCACAGCGGACCTAGATGAGGGAGAGTGTGCAGTGGGTGGCTCGGAGGAAGAAGACGAAGGGGAAGTGTGGATGGGGGAGGAGGGTGAGGAATGTGAAGGGGAGGGAGGAGAGGAGAGCGAAAGCGGAGGTAGTAAAGGGTAGGGGAGTGGGGAAGAGGAGGGGAAGGGGGGGGGGTGGGGGGGGAGGATGGAGGGATATGGATATCAGGAGGAACTGCAAGGAAGGGGAGGTGAGTGAAGGGGGTGGTGAGGAAATGGAACGGGATGGAGGATGAATAGGGTGAAGAGGCTACTGTAACAAGGTCGTTCCATCCAAGGACGTGGTTACATTGAAGTGCTACTTTTATTTGTTTGCAGAACACATAAACCTCAGCTTTAGCTGCTACACAGATTGTAGATCTGGTTATTGTACGCGTTTAGAATTTACTATTTACCTTAAGATCAATGTTCAGAATCAACCATCAACCTTCCACGCTACACTGAACCGAATCCTCCATTTCGCCGCTGCCTCTTTTCACCGGGCCCCCTAGCTCCACCCCTCTTCCAACAGCTCTGGCCGTTCATCTCGTCATTCCCCCCTCGAGTCCCACAACGGATAATCCTGCAGACGTTTGGTCTACACATGTGGCATTGCAACTGCCCCGTCACGCCATCGTAACGCCGAAGCACGCAGCACACTGGCAGGTGGCTGTCGACTCGACCGCCTCCTCGGTGTCGCGCTCAGATTACGCCGCGCATTTCCCACGGGGGACGCGTCGAGGTGTCTCGTTTGTTACGAGAGCTCGGGTTGGAATCATAGGTGCGACCGTGACTGCAGCGAGTCCGTCGCTTTGCAACTACACACGCGCGCACCCACACTCACATGCACCGTGCATTCCAAGTCGAGCCGCTGCCTTCACATCTCATGGCCGTTGCGTTCCTTGGTATCATCCTGCTGCGTGCATTGCCGGGTGCGTGTTCCTCCTCTTTTCGTTCACGCCAAGCCGCCGCTCCGTGTTTCCTCTTTCCACTTCTTACGCCTCCTTTGAGGTGCTCTCCCGTCGCCCTCCATTTCTTCATGTCGCTCCCTAGCGCTTTTCTCGTGCTCAACTGAAGGCGCTTTGCCAGATACTAATATGAGTACGACAGCTCGTGGGTGTACGAGTGGTCTCACCACCGCTTAAAGCTTCCATCCACTCTTCGCCTCGCCTCCAAACGCGTGACATAAGCTTCTTCTCCTCTCGCCCTCTGTCCTCCCCACCGCGTGCGTCTCTCATTGTGCCCTCCATCAGTGCCAGCACCTCGACCACCTGCCACGGACCTTCACGTGAGCGCAAGCACATTCGCACCTGGAAGCAGCGGGGAGAGGCGCATGGCTGGTACGCGCGGGGCGAGCGCGGCGGGGGAGGCAGCGATGAGGGCGGTGCAGGCGGTGAGGGGCGAGGTGGCAGCGCTGCAGCGGGAAGTGGCGTCCGTGCGGGAGAGGGGCGAGGCGGCAGCGCGGAAGCACAGCCTGGCGGACGAGGTGACCGCACTGCGGGGGGAGGTAGCAGCGGCGTGGGAGCTGGCAGCAGTGGGGAGGAGCGACGTGCAGCGGCTGACGGGCGAGGTGGCGGACTTGAAGAGAGACCTGGCGGCCGTGAAGGCGGTGCTTTGCAGCAAGGAGGAGGAGAAAAGGGACATGTGGCACGTGAGTGCATGCTTACCCGTCACGTCCTCCTCTTTGACCTCTTACCCTGCGTTCCCTCTTACCCTGCGTTCCCTCCTACCCTGCGTTCCCTCTTACCCTGCGTTCCCTCTTACCCCTGCGTTCCCTCTTACCCTGCGTTCCCTCTTACCCTGCGTTCCCTCCTACCCTGCGTTCCCTCTTACCCTGCGTTCCCTCTCACCCTGCGTTCCCTCTTACCCTGCGTTCCCTCTTACCCTGCGTTCCCTCTTACCCTGCGTTCCCTCTTACCCTGCGTTCCCTCTCACCCTGCGTTCCCTCTCACCCCACATTTCCTCTCCGCAGAAAATCCTGGCAGCATCGGAGGAGGCGAAGCTAGTGCTACGCAACGAGCCATACCTAACAGACGTAGTGCTGGCACACGTGGCCGCCATGACTCAGCTCTCCACCGTCAACCTTGCCGACTCCTACCCCATCACCACCCACGGCCTTCAGCAGCTCTACGCCCTGCCAAGCCTCACCTGCCTCGACCTCACCGGCTCAAGATTGGGGGAGGAGAACGACAGGGCAATCTCCCTGGAGGGCATTGGCGCAGCGAGCTGTCTCCAGGCGCTCGTATTGGATGAGACCATGGTGGGGGACTCTGATCTGCTGCACATCACTGCGCTCACATCGCTCAGAACCCTCTCCCTTAATAACGGTGACTGCCTGACCCAGGCTTCCATGCTGCATGTGGGCCGGTTGACGGGGCTACAGAATCTTACCCTGGGCGGGTGTAGCGAGATGGGAGACAATGTGCTGCCGCTGCTGGCCGGCCTGCGCCACCTCACCTCAATCTCCATGCCTCGTGGGGTCACTGATGCCGGCCTGATCAACTTGCCCACGCATCCGTTGCTGCAGAAACTGTCGCTGTTTGCCTGCCCGGGCGTCACCTCTGCCGGCATGCTGCATGTGGGGCGCCTCACCAGCCTCCAGGAGCTTGTTCTCCTCTGCACGCACGTCGCAGACCAAGGGCTGCACCACCTCACATCGCTCACCAACCTGCGCTCGCTCGTACTGCCGCTCCTTGTTACAGACGCCGGCATGGTGCATCTGGGGCGTCTCACGGGACTGCAGAAGCTGAGTCTGGCGCATACTATGGTGGGGGACCATGGGCTGCGGCAGCTCACGGCGCGTGTTTTTTGAGAATTCTCAAAAAACACGCGCTGCAACACATTTCCCTCCCACGAATGTTAGTGTGTTGGCGTTTACCAAAGAGGATACGTAACCTCTTGGTGAAAGCGAGGTTTCAAAAACGGGGATACACCAACCCCGGAAGCTGATGGGATTGAATTTGTCCCAACCAATTTGCATGTGGGAATGACATTGTAAATCTTGTACAGCCAGCTAGCGGGCCGCAATGACGAGCCGCACTGGACTTCTTGTTTTCTTGGTTGAATGTTGGGCAAGGTAGATGGGAGTAGATAAGGAGTAGTTTCTTTCATGTAACTCTGAGAGCGCTGATGAAGGCAACCGGCCGAAACGCGCGTACGCTCAGGTTTGAATGAATTTTTTTTCTTACCTACTAAGTCCCTACTAAGCCTAAGCTCAGCCTAGAGGAGGTTAACGACGAGTTACCTGTTGGATCCAGGTCGAATCTGTTTTTCTATGCTACAAGAGATTATCTCTTCGAATTTCAGGACCTGTTGAACCCAGACCACTCGTTCCTAGTAGCGGACGTGTTGGAAGTGTTATGACTGACGATAAACGCGGGAAACGTACTTCTGAGCAGAGATCGCCGGAGGTCGCGCTTCCTAGACGATTTGGGAAACCCGCTCATATAGATAAGAAGATTACGACCACTGGACATCAACGACCAGGTTTTGTCACCGCTAGTTCTCTGCTGCCCGGATCCCGTGTAGATCTACCGCTTGCGATTGAAGATTTACCTCCTGCGATTCGAGATTACTCAGCTACGGGAGTTACTAAAGATCCTGTCGCAGGAACTTCGACCGCTAAAAATCAGGCTGATTCAGCCGTGATTCCAGTTTCGGCGCATCCGACGGTGACGCAGTTAGCACAGATAGAAATTGTTCCAGATTCGAACGAAGATTCTGGTGCAATCACTCTATCGCTAGAAGACGCGATGCAGCACGCGGAGGCAGCACAGGCACATGCGCACGCGATGCAGCAAGCGGAAGCTGCACAGGCGCAGGCGACGGCTGCGGCAGCTGCGGAAGCAGCACGAGTAGCTGCGGAATCCGCGGCACACGCTGCTGCGACACATGCAGCAGCGAATCCCTCTACATCGGGAGGGTCGGGGGAATCATTAGAAGCATTTCGTGTACAACAGCAACAGTGGTTTCAGCAACAGCAACAGTTATTTGCGACTACTTTCGAAGCCTTCCTGGCAGCACAGAAGGCACCACAGTGTTCTACATCTACGGGAAGTGTGTCTTCGAATTTTGGGGAGAAGATTCCAGATGTCTTCCTCAATCAATTGGAACATAACTGCAAACTTTTCCGTGACAGGACGGTGAAGCAGCTGAAGCTTGCAACGAAGGTGAAGCGGCTCAAGCAGATGTTTCATGAGGGGAGACTTCCCAAAGGCTTTAAAACAGCCCCTATGACATACTATGGTAATGATCCAGCGATCAAGATGGAGGGAGATGAGGAGTTCAAGAGGCTGGAGCGTGATTATTATAAGACATGCTTCGAAACCCTTATCAAACTCCAGGAGAAGGAGCTGCAGAAGTTGACGGACAGTTTGGGCACAGCTCAGGAAGAGTTTCGCCAGCAGCTGCAGAAGATTCGTGAGATGGGACCTTCAGCCATCTTCACGGAGAGCTTCAGTCACTTGGAACCGAAGCTGTTAACCATGTTTGCGGAGCGGATCAAGACCATTACGGTTGAGGAAACCTTCTCCTACATCAATGAGCAAGAAGCAGCATAGCGTGAGACAGAACGCAAAACTTCTGCTAAAACGGCAGCCGAGAATATGGAGGTGGAACCTACAGTGTCTGAGATTGTCAACAAGTCAAACTTTGACCTTGCTAAGCGACTTGAGGCAGTGGAGAAACAGCTCTTCAAGAAGCCGGAAGCACAGAAACAGGCACCTCCAAAGGCTCCACAGCAAGCACAGCCAACTGAACAGCAAACTCGACAGCAGCAGACGCCTCGACAGCAGCAGTCTCAACCGCAACCCACCAACCAGTACTCGACTAAACCTTCACCCGGCGCTTGGTCCAACCAGCGGCAACCTTCTCCCGGCTATGGGGCTCAGGGACCCCAGGTTCCAGACTCTGGCAAAAAACGGGGGAGGGAGGGGGAGGGGAGGGAGGGGCAGGGGTTGGGGGAGAGGCTGGGGCAGAGGCGGAGGAAGAGGAGACGGATACGGAGGAGGAGGAATGTTTCAGGGCAGAGACAATTCATGGGGCAGGAGTTAAGTGAGCTCAGTGAACGGGATCTCCAACTCTTTTATTTTGGGCAAATGACGGAATCTCAGCTCAAAAAGAGAGTTAGGAATCGGAGCATCTTCAACTTGAGTAGCCGGAAATTGACAGCAGTTGAAGAGAAAGCATTAGCGCTGGGGCTGAACTTCATCCCGACACCGACTGCATCTCAATTCACTTCTGATGAAGAGGTACTTTCTGCCTATGATTCTTTCTGCCGTAATCTGAGACTGAGAGAGTTCTTTGGAGATTCGGAGATTCCCAAGAGTTTTAGGATTCCTAACCCTTCTTGGGATGTTCCTTTGGATAAAAGGAACATGTTTCTTGAGAATGTGATGCAGCAACATAGGGAGGTGCTTCAACAAAGTTTGTTGAAGGATCCTCCTAGGGCTGGCTCGAACATTTCTCACATGGTGAGGCGTGCTTTGAGATCCCTTGCCTCCGATGAGTCAATTGTTGTGAAACCTGCCGATAAGAATTTAGGAATTACGGTTATGGACAGAGGCTATTATCAGCAGCAGGCACTTGCTCACCTTTCTGACGCATAAGTCTATAGGCAAGTGGACACCGTTCCCTTGTCTGGAATTTTGGAAACTCTCTCCCGCATTCGGTTTGAGTTTCTCCCATGCCTTCCAAAAAAGACATGGGACTTTTTGGAGAATTCTCCAACTCGTGGTTGGCAACCTGCCTTCTTCTACATTCTTTTGAAGATGCATAAGAAAGTGCCTGTGGGTAGACCGATTGCAGCCTCCCATTCATGGATCACTGCCAATGCTTCGAGATGGTTGGATTGTCAACTCCGTCCCTTGGTGTTAAAGCAGAAGACTTACCTTCGGAATAGCCAGAGCCTCCTCCTTCAGCTCGAGCAGCAGCAGGTTCCTTCCTCGGTGGTGTTGTGTACATATGACGTGAGAAGTTTGTATCCATCTATCCCAATCTTTGAGGGCATTGAAGCTGTGGACAGGATTCTCAACAGAGTTAGACATCCTCTTAAGCCGTTGATCATTTCTATTCTTAGATGGGTGATGTGCAATTTCTATGTACAATTTGATGATATGGTGTATAAACAGGTTAGAGGTACGGCAATGGGAACCCTGGTCGCTCCTGTCTTTGCCATTTTGTATATGAGTTGGCTAGACGAGGAGCTGACGCGGAAGGTGACCATAGAGCCACTTTGTCATGTTAGATACATAGACGATGGGTTCATCCTTTGGGAGGGGAGTGTAGAAACTCTCCAAGGATTCCTAGGAGCCTTCAACTCCCTTCGGCCCACGATCAAGCTGACTTGGGAAATCAGCGAGGACAGGATTGACTTCCTCGACCTTCAGCTCTACAAAGGGGAGCGCTTCCACAAATCCAGAATTCTGGATGTGGCTAGCTTTCAGAAACCGTTGAATCGGTTTCCCGTTCTCCTCTTTCCACTCGAAGGAGTGTAAGAGAGGATTCATCACGAGTGAGCTGAAACGTCACTGCCTGCGGAACTCATCGTTCAAGACCTTTTGGGAGAGGAAAGTCCTCTTCTTTGAGAGGCTGAAGGCCAGAGGGTACCCTGATTACTTCCTCAGGCCTATCTTCAACAGTGTTACACATCAAGACCGACCGGCTTTGCTTCGCAGCTGCCAACAACACAAAGAGAGGGAAGTCCCCCAGTCCCTCAAGGTAAGAAGGTGTCCAAGGACTTTGCTGGGGGGGTTTTTGAGAATTCTCAAAAAACACGCGCTGCAACACATTTCCCTCCCACGAATGTTAGTGTGTTGGCGTTTACCAAAGAGGATACGTAACCTCTTGGTGAAAGCGAGGTTTAAAAAACGGGGATACACCAACCCCGGAAGCTGATGGGATTGAATTTGTCCCAACCAATTTGCATGTGGGAATGACATTGTAAATCTTGTACAGCCAGCTAGCGGGCCGCAATGACGAGCCGCACTGGACTTCTTGTTTTCTTGGTTGAGTGTTGGGCAAGGTAGATGGGAGTAGATAAGGAGTAGTTTCTTTCATGTAACTCTGAGAGCGCTGATGAAGGCCACCAGCCGAAACGCGCGTACGCTCAGGTTTGAATGAAAATTTCTTCTTACCTACTAAGTCCCTACTAAGCCTAAGCTCAGCCTAGAGGAGGTTAAGGACGAGTTACCTGTTGGATCCAGGTCGAATCTGTTTTTCTACACAGCTAAGGTCTCTTGACCTGGTTGATGGAAGCAGCATTGACCATAGGGGGTTGCTCAGGCGCTTGGGCTGGGAGGGCTATACGTGGGGACGCTAATACTGTGAAGGAAGGAGGTAAGCCAGCCATAGCATCATGTCAATCTGTTGTGTCAGTCTACACGTGGGAACCTTCTCCCTTAGTAGCTGTAGCAGCCTCACCCAGGCTTCCATGCTGCATGTGGGCCGGTTGACTGGGCTACAGGGTCTTTCCCTGGGCGGGTGTCACGAGATGGGAGACAATGTGTTGCCGCTGCTGGCCGCCCTGCGCCACCTCACCTCGCTCAGCATGGCTCGTGAAGTCACTGATGCCGGCCTGATAAACTTGTTCTCGCTGCCGCCGCTGCACAGGCTGTCGCTGCCTTCCTGCCAGGGCGTCACCTCAGCCGGCATGCATGTGGGGCGCCTCACCAGCTTGCGGGAACTGGATCTCCGCCTCACCAGCCTGCGGGTGGTGTTAGTAGTATAAGGTACATTGCATTACCATGTGTCAAACATGCATTAGCCATTCGACACTGCCAATACAAAAAGTATTATTGGGCACAGAATCACATTCGATTTGGATTCGACAGTAATCAAATCGTATTCATATTCGGTGTTGGGCCAGTATTCGTTTTGTATTCGTTATTCTGCTTTGGGACAGTATTCTGTCAAATAAGAAACCACATCGTATTCGGAGAACATTCAGAACAAAATATATATATTGGTGAGCGTGGTGATGTGGTGCAACCCTTGGCCGACTCGGCCGGGCCAGCGGTGAATGGCTTGGTAAAACAGTGCGCGCGAAATTGGCAAAGTCCTGTTAGCAGTAAGGGGCGAACAAGGCTGGTGCTGTATGCGGTGGGGACGGTCGCGGCAAGGAATATCGAGGAAATTCCTTACAATCAGGGCCCACGTTATCAGGGCAAAACATCCTGATTACCCTGAATTCAGGATGCACTTCTGTATTTACCCTGCAATTTCAGAATAGTCATAATTTTAACCCTGAGGTCACAGGATGTTTTTATGTGAAATGCCCTGGAGTTTCAGGATGGCCGTAGTGTTCTTCCCTGTAGCGTCAGGATGAATGTCGAGGCCTGCCCTGACGCGGATTTTGGGGGGGGGGGGGTGGGTAAGGGGGGGTGTTCCGTTTCGGGGGGAATTTTTTCCCCGAGGATTTTTGTCTCTGTTGAAATTTTCCCCCGTGTATGTTTCCCGCCTTCGCACGTTCTCTTCCCCTTGACATTTCCGATCCCCCGCTACACCAGCCAAGCCAACCCCATCACCCACCGCCAAGGCAACTCGTCCTCTGCCTGGCTAGCTCTAGCTGGGTTTCTCACGCTGACGTTCAGTAGCACTCCATCCAACACCCTTGCAGTGTTGCTGTTAGAGTAGCAGCAGCACTATCAGTAGTGAAGTTCGGCTGGATGATGGCAAACGAGAACGATGGCGCGGCGCTAGTATCACGGGGTCTAACCGGATTAGATTTCTTGCGTCCGGTTAGAGCTGTGTCCGCCTTACCAACAGGTTCACCTGCAGCTGGATCATCTCGTACTCCCGCAGTCACACCCGCCTATGCTAGCACAAACGGCACCAACATTGTACCACCTGGTGCGACACGCGACACCTGTGTGCTAAAATCAGAACCCTGAATACTATTATTTTTGCCCTGACAGGTCAGGATTATTTTCTGCAAAAGCCCTGACCAATCAGGAAGGCTCTGAAGATTTGCCCTGAGAAATCAGGGCATTTTTGAAGATTCTAGAAAAGTGCCCTGAGGGCTCAGGGTGCCCCAAAACCTAGCACGGGCCCTGCTTACAATAACACTAGGTACTAATTTTTTAACGGTTATGATAACAGGTTGGAATGTGGGTGAATAAACATTATAACGTATCTCTTGTAACAAACGTGCGAACGTCGTCAATCGCGAAGGATAATCCTCCTTCGCGACAGACGATGTTGTAGGCCGCTGGGCAACAAAACTCCACCTACAAGACACGAACCGCCAAGCCTAGCAAACCACCAGTATATTACGACGTGTTGCAATTTCCGGTGCACTGCATCGGCTCGGCTCGGTTTGGCACGAGCCAGGTCGTGCCAGATCCGCGACTCGGAAACCTCGAAATTTCGATATGAAATTCGAGGTATTTGTATTGCGATTTCCTGGCACGAGGGTGGCGGGTTGGCATCGGGTGACATCCTCATGGCTCGAGCCAGGTCGTGCTGGCTCGAGCCATAACGATGCAGTGCACTGAATCGGCTCGAGCCAGGTCGTGCCAAGTCAGTGCACTGCATTGGCTCGTCCTCTTGCTTTCATGGAAACTTCCAAATCACGTGCCACGAGCCGAGCCGATGCAGTGCACCGGAAATTGCAACACGTCGTTAGGTTTGCTAGGCACCTGCATGCTCTTCGCACGGCACGGCACCCCTTGTAGGTTAGCAGGCATCTCTACTACAAATGTTTCGGCTTATAGTCCGACGAGTTGAGCCGAATGTCAGAATGAACGGACAGGAATGACTGTACTAGCACAAAGTTGGATACAAGTAGTAAACCCTAATCTAGTGTACCCCCTAAGGTGTAACCCACTACAGCCTACAATAATGTTTGACACACCCCCATAGGCGCAGTGGGAGACAACCACAGGGTCACGAGACCAGTCAAAGCAAAGGAAGGCAAGCTCAGGGTGGATCTCAAGGATTCCACACAAATTCCGAGCACAAGCTAGTGGTCACAAGACCAGTTCACATGCAGGTTTATAACAGAGCAAGAGATACAGTGATCACAACCTAGCAAGAGTAAACATGCAGGTATAGATATATATAGTGATCACAGTACAAGCAAAGTCAAGAGGTAAGTAAGTGAGGTCCAGTAGGCACAAGGCCTAGTAGAGTGCAGAAGCGCTGATGGTCACGAGGCTGAAGCGCCTTGGTGAACACATCAGCAGTGTTGGCCTCAGTGGCCACGTAGCGAATACAAAGCTGACCGCGCTGCTGCAGCTCACGAGCAAGGAAGTACCGCAGGGCGATGTGCTTCGTTCTGTGCTCCAGTCTGTGCTCCTCACACAAGGCAATGGCAGCCTTGTTGTCGACGTACAGTACTGGAGGAGAACGAGGCGGCTCTCCGAGGTCAGTCAGCAGGTAGGTCAGCCAGCGTAGCTCCTGGGCAGCCATGGCTGTAGCGTAGATCTCAGCCTCGCAACTGGAGCCGAGAACAGAAGAAGAGCGTGTAGAGCGCCAAGAAACTGAGCCAGAGCCAAGGCTGAAGGTGTAACCCTGAGACGACCGCTGAGTGGCCTGGTCGTCTGCCCAAGAAGCGTCTGAGTGCCCTGTGAGAACAACTCGGTCTCGCCCTCCAAGCACAAGCCCCATGCCCGACGTACTGCACAAGTAGCGCAACACCCTCTTAGCGGCATCCATGTGCTCCTTCCTGTGACGGCCAGGAGCGACATAGCGTGCAAGGATGCTAAGAGGGTATGCAAGGTCAGGTCGAGTGCAGGTCATCAGGTACATGAGGCAGCCCACAAGCTCTGGATACGGGCCACTCGGCTCTACGGACTCATCCGAAGGCAGAGCTGAGAGCGAGTGACCGGTAGGCAGAGGAGTGGACTGAGGCGAGGAGTACGTGAAGCCGAAGCGCTGGAGAACCTGCTGCACCATGTGTGACTGAGTCAGGGTGATGGTGCGCCGTGCTCTGTCCCAGGTGATCCGCAAGCCAAGATAGCTTGTCAGCTCACCCAGGTCTGTGCACGTGTGTCTCCTCTGCAGCTCCGACTTCACGTAGGCGAGTCCTGCAGTGTCAGCAGTGGCAAAGACCAAGTCGTCGACGTACACGAGGATGTAGAACGGCGGCAGCGAAGTGTCGGTGCGCAGGAACAGCGACGGGTCAGCTGTAGAAGGCGCGAACCCAAGAGCCGCAAGTGTAGTCCTCAGTGTGTCGTGCCACTCACGCGGAGCCTGGCGGAGACCGTAGACCGGCCGCTGAAGCCTCCATTGGGTACCAGGAGGAAACGACCCAGTGAAGCCAGGAGGGCGGCGCAGCCAGATCTCCTCGTGTAGGCTGCCCTGCAAGAAAGCAGTGCTGAAGTCAAGTGAGTGAAGCTCGTAGTCGCGGTGAGCGGCTATGTGCAGCAGCACCCGAAGAGTAGTCATCTTCGGGGTGGGGGAGAAGGTCTGGAAGAAATCAACTCCCTCTCGCTGACTGAAGCCTCGAGCCACGTAACGCGCCTTGAAGACAGGCGGAGAACCCGGCGGCCGCTTCACCCTGAAAATCCACATGCCACTGACGATGTTCGCCCCAGGAGGGGGAACCTCGTCGACGTAGGTGCGTGTGGACTTCCAGGAGGCCATCTCGGCGTCCATGGCTGTCTGCCACTGAGAGGAGTAGGGACCCGCCATCGCCTCAGCGTAAGTGCGCGGGGTCGGGATGCCTGGTGCATCCGGGTCTCCCTCAGGGGCAACTAGCAAGGACACGAGACGGGGCAAAGCAGCAGCAAGACACTGGAACTCCTCCTGTCTGTCCTCAAGGACGTCCGTGCCAAGAGCACACTCACCCCCGACGAACGGAGGACAGACAGACTCAGACTCAGACTCAAACTCAGCAACAAGGCTAGCAGCGTAGTCTAGACGACAGGCAACAGCAAAGTCAACCAACTCAGCGACCAGAGCAGACGCAGTCGAGGACTCAAAGGTAGGGTCAGTGACAACAGTAGCGAGGAGACGCGTGACAGTAGGGTGCTCAGCACGGTACCGGTCAGACTCAGGGTCCGGAACGTGAGGCAAAGAAGACGCAGGAGGAGACGGTAGAGGGACACGCTGAGGAGCAGTAGAGGGACGCAGAGTCATGTAGTGAGTGCCTGGGACAGGAGGAGGACGCTCACGACGGACACGACTACCAGTGCGAGCAGGACGAACAGGCGACGCAGGACGAGACTCAGGCTCACGACGCTCTGTAAGACCTCTTGTGGGACCAGTGTAAGGAGAGGGAGCAGGGAGAGGCGAGGTAGGCGGTAACAGTGACTGCGGCTGGACAGGCAGAGGACACTCTACGGAGGGAGGAGGACAAGGAGGAGGAGCCTGCCCAAGAACCTGCTGAAGGAGCGGTACGAAGTACGGTCGCGGCCGCGCAGCGTCTCCAGAAGCAGAGGAGACTCCAGCGGCCGGGTCCACAGCACCAGCAGCAGCCCCACCGGCCGGGTCCTCAGCACCAGTAGTAGCTCCAACGCCCGGGTCCTCAGCAGCAGCAGCAGCGCCACCGTTTGGGTCCTCAGCTCCAGCAGCAGCTCCACCGTCCGGGTCCTCAGCACCAGCAGCAGCGCCACCGCCCGGGTCCTCAGCTCCAGCAGCAGCTCCAACGTCCGAGTCCTCAGCACCAGCAGTAGCTCCACCAGGCGGGTCCGCAGTACCAGCAGCAGCTCCCACGTCCGGGTCCTCAGCACCAGCAGCAGCGCCACCCCCAGGGTCTGCAGCACCAGGAGCACCACTCCGAAGACTGCAGCGCCGTGTGTACCACTCGCGGATCTGCTGAATGGGGGGGAGCTCCTGGGTAGGAGGGGAAGTACCGGGACGAGCTCCAGCAGCACCTCTCCGGAGGCGGCAGTACTCGAGGTACCTCTCCTGCAGCTGCTGGGAGGAGAGGGCTCCTCCAGGTGTAGCACGCCTAGGCTCAGCACCCCCAGACGCAGCACCCCCAGACCCAGCACCCCCAGGCTCAGCACCTCCAGGCTCCGCACCTCCAGGCTCCGCACCCCCAGGCTCGGCACCCCCAGGCTCCGCACCCCCAGACTTAGCACTTCCAGGCTCAGCACCCCCAGACGCAGCACCCCCAGGCTCAGCACCCCCAGACGCAGCACCCCCAGGCTCAGTACCCCGAGCAGGACGAGAGTCAACAGCTACCTCGACAGGCTCACCCGGGTCTACCTGGGACACACCTGAGGGAGCGGCACCCTGAGGGGGGAGGGGGTCTGGTACCTCAGCACCTGGAGCGAGGAAGAGAGGCGGGGGGGGGGAGCGGGGCAGTGCGGTAGGGGAAGAGACGGTAGTAGGGGACGGACTCGTCAAAAGTGACGTCCTGAGAGGCCAGGACACGCCGCGAGGTGGGGTGGTAGAACTGCCAACCAGGGGCGTCCGGGACAAAGCCAAGGAAGACGCAGGGGACAGCGCGACGGGAGAGCTTGTCCGCGGACGTGTCGCGGACAAAAGCTCGGGATCCCCAGACCCGAAAACGCGACGCATCGCCAGCCTCTCCCGTCCAACGCAGTGTCGGAGAAGTCTCAGGCAAGGAGACACGGGGCCAGAGGTTGAGCTGATGCGCAGCGTATCGGACTGCAAACGGCCACAGAAAGTGGGGGGCAGCCGCATGAACCAAGGAGGTACGAGCGACCTCCATGACCAAGCCAATGCGGCGCTCAGCAACCCCATTCTGCTGTGGAGAGGCCGGAAGCGTGAACGACTGCTCAATGCCCTCCTGCTGACAGAAGGCCTCCAAGAGGCCAGAGGAAAACTCTCCACCTCTGTCAGAGTGCAGACGCAGGACAGGGAAGTCGGAGTGGAAACGCTCACTGAGCTGGAGACGAGATCTGCGGATCCAAGGGATCAAGACATCAGGGACGTCACCCTTGGTGCGCAAGGGGAAGACCGTGGTGTAGCGCGAGAAGTCGTCAACAACAATCAGGAAGTACCTCTCCTGACCCTGGCCACGGACGCGGGCTGGGCCCCACACGTCCCATCCGAGCACACGTGCAGTGTGTCACGCACTCGTAGGCAGGGGTGAACTGGTGAACACCCCCGTCCTGGAGCGCACTACCTGCCACCAAGTTCGTAGAGAACGAGGGGAGGTAGAGACCTGACAGCGTGCCGGACGGGACCGCCGGACAAGGAAGGACAGTAGAGGAGGTCGCAATGACCGGACCCCCAGAGGGGTCAGCAAGGGAGACAGCAATTGGCCGAGCGAGTGGCTCAAGGACAGTGCGGTCACGAAAGAAACAGCGAGAAGCACCTGAGTCCAGGGTGAAGGTGTGCAGTGCTGCAGTCGACTCAGTACCAGGGGGCACGGACGCACGAGCACCTAGGGCTGCAGCCTCACCAGGACCTGTGGGAGCAGACGCACGAGCACCTAGAGCGGCAGCCGGACTGGCCTGAATGCCCGGGTCGGGCGGAACACGCAAGTACTGAGCACCCTCTCCACTAATAGACATCGCATACATGGCAGTGAGAATAGCATCAAAGTCTAAAGCCCAAATATCAACACCCCTCTTTTCCAGATCAGCCCAGCGCGGCAGCTCAGTGGCAGCAGGAAACTGAGTGCGCCACGCGTCGTTAAGGCGCGCGAAGCAGCGCTGCGTGGGGTGCGGCCTCCCACACTGCTGGCCGCTGCGGTCACCTGTGCGAATGACGTACGTGCAGGTAAAGCTACGCTGCGCATACCACTCACGGGCGGCCTGAAGCGTCGGGGCGGGCTGCTGACTCTGCCCTCCGCCAGTGCCTCCACGACCACCACCCCCACCGCCGCCGCCCCGGCCACCTCCACCCCTGCCGCCGCCACGACCACCTCCGCCTCCGCTGCCGCCTCCACCACCACTCCCACCGCTGCTGTCTCCTCCCACACTGCCGCCACTAGTCTCCCCTGCCGCACCTCCACTCCCACCGCCTCCACCCCCACCTCCTCCGCCGCCACCCCCACCCCTGCCCCCCTTGTTCCTGCGGCGCCCACTCGAAGCAGACGCGGTCCCGACCTTCTCAGCACCAAGAAGGTCGACAGCAGCAGCAGAGGCGACAGAGGGGAGGAGGGGGGAAGGGGAACACCCCTCAAAGAACGGGGTGCGGGGGTCGCCACGAGAGGTGCCTACAGCGACGATGCTCGCCTCAGCTGCAAGCAGTTCCTTCTCGAGGAGGGCAACAGTGAGCTCAGTGGGGGAGCGAGAGAGGAAGTGGTCCCTGACTGCGCGCAGAGAGTCAGGAAGGCGGGTGACGATGTGGTAGAGAGTGATCCAGAGCGGGGGGGGGTTGCTAGTGAGAAACTCGGCAGGCATAGCAGCGCGAAAGCGGGCCTCACTAGTCTTAAGGTGGGTGATGAGGTCTGCGACAGTGTGAAAGGAGGCTAGGTCGGGGAACAGGTAGGGGAGAGTGAGGCGGCCTAGCGTGGCAGAAGCTGGCGAGGAGTAGCGGGCAACTACAGCGGTATAGAGGTCCTTAGCAGTCTTGCACTGGCCAAAGTGCTCGCGCTCATCTAGCGGCAGGGAGTTGCGAATAGCAAAGCGAGCGTGCGCATCACGGGTCTGCCACTGGGAACGCAGAGTGCTGTCAGCAGTCGAGTCAGGGGCAGTGGCATGGCCTAGGGCGTGGTCGTACAGTGAGATATCTTCCTTGGCAGTGAGCTGTAGGAACAGGTGCAGGTCATCTAGCCAGGTTTCGAACTTCACTGGACGGCCCTCGGCATCGAAAGCTAGAACTGGCGGACTAGCCATAGTGACAGTAGCAGTAGTAACAGTAGTAGTAGGAATCAAGCCGCTGGAAAGGTGTCCACTGGTGGCAGCTGCAGTGGCAGCAGTGCGCGCGGTAGGTAGAAGGTAAACAACAGGGAGAGCGAGTGCCTCTCGGGCGGCGGCTGCAGAAGCGCACAGGCGGCAGCGGCGCACTGGGAACGGCGGTGCACGGGCAGCGGGAGCGCACGGGCGACGGGAGGCTGCGAGGCGTGCGCGAGCAGGCGACGGGCGGCTGCGGGGCGTGCGCGAGCAGGCGACGGGCGGCTGCGGGCGGGCGGCCGCTGCGACAGCGGGCTGCGGGCCTGCGGGACGTGCGCGAGCAGGCGACGGGCGGCTGCGGGGCGTGCGCGAGCAGGCTACGAGCGGCTGCGGGGCGTGCGCTAGCAGGCGACGGGCGGCTGCGGGGCGTGCGCGAGCAGGCGACGGGCGGCTGCGGGGCGCGCGCGAGCAGGCGACGGGCGGCTGCGGGGCGCGCGCGAGCAGGCGACGGGCCGCGCGCGAGGGAAATAAGGCGCGCGCGGGAAAAAAAAAAAGGCCGCGCGCGAGCGGCTAAGGGGCGGCGCGACGGGGCCTTAAGGGGCGGGTCGCGGGTCGCGGGAGGTAGGGGCCGGAAAAAGTTCGAGGCGCCCTAGGTAGGTAGGTAACGGTGGGCCCTTAAAAAAAACGGTCCTAGCGAAGGACCTGCTCTGAAACCATGTCAGAATGAACGGACAGGAATGACTGTACTAGCACAAAGTTGGATACAAGTAGTAAACCCTAATCTAGTGTACCCCCTAAGGTGTAACCCACTACAGCCTACAATCATATAAACATATATTGTTTGACACCGAAGCGCGTGGACTGTATGCCGAAATTTTCAAACCCCAGGCAAAACGCGATATTTATAGTCCCGTTCAGAAAATTTGCATGAATAGTGGTTTGTTTGCTAAAATGTTTGGTTTTTGGTCTTTTTCTTAAATTTGGACCGCGCTGGCTTCAACTTCTTGTCACACGCTTCCACTCGCTGATCAATTTCGCATGACCAACGGGCAAAACAAAAAAGAATCTTTTATGGTTTGGGGGTCGATTAGAAGGTAAAAACTTCGGTTTTACCCTGTAAACGAGATAATTGTGATGTCATCGTCGAGCGCGCTGGAGACCGCGCAACAGGATTGAGAAGTGATCACGGTCAAGAAAAACAATTACTTAGAATTTGGAGGTTAAATGTCGAATCGATGATCCCTTATCTATAATTTTCCCCGAATGTTGGGATGGTTCAATTTGGAGCCTCTGATTGGCTGCGGAGCTGATTCGTGCAATGATTCGGTCAAGCTTCAATTTTTCCCGCCAAAAAAGGGACTGTAGCCAACCCTAGGTAATATCGGAAAATTCTACTCAAGGGGGTAAAGGGACTCATTTAGCAATGGCCTATAACCCAGAACACCTGTACGTCGGCACCCCCTTGGTTGACTCCCGTTGTTTGTTTTGTTTTTGTTTTTCTGCACGGGAAACTCGCTTGCGTGGAACGTGACGTTGCCGTTCCACGTGGGCACCAGAACCCCGTTCTTACTTGCGGACAAAGGCGCCCCCGTCCGTACATTGGCGCGTCAGCACGCTACCCAATGTTGGCCACTTGAACACGTTCTTTTTTCCTAATCGTGGACAAACGCACACCCGCACTGCGTTGACACCGAGCGTACGCCTATGTGGCAATCCCGCCTTATCATCGCGGAAAAGGGAAGTGCGAAAAAAAACCTAAAAGTTACTGTTTCGTAACTTTCCAGTTGCATTTTCCGCGCAAGAAAAAAGTTTGACTCGTAAACAGTGGTAGCGTCAGTAACTTGCGAAGTGACTTTCCCGTCACATTCCCAACACAAACTGTACACTTCGGTGCAATTGTGAGGTATACGGTAAAGCAACTAGTGGGGTGGAAAACGTCACCCTTGAGCAACCTACGCGAAAGTGTCACGGCAACGCCACGTGGCATACGACGTACTACACATGAAACTGAAACATGCTGACGTGGCTGTCATCGTACTCGAACGACAGCCGTCGGATCAGATTAAAATCGACGCACATAAACGTATCTTGTGGGCCAATCAGAGAGCATTTTGGTGTGCGGAAAGGATCTCCCATTGGCTGACGATTGGCATTATCCGTTTCGGTACATCCGTTATATTTCTAGTTTCATTTGAATGTTGAGAGTTGCATTAATAATTTTTTACAACAAAACGTTGATACAAAAATGTTGTACTATCTTTCCCATGCAACAACAAATAAACTTACATCACAGCTAAAAATCATGACAACTAAATAGTGTCAAACATTATATGTGTTGTGTTTGTGTAGGCTGTAGTGGGTTAGCCTATAGGGGGGTCACAACATTAGGGTTTCATATTTGTACTCACAATCCTTTCTAGTTCACCATTCCAGTCCGTTATTACTGACATGGTTTCAGAGCAGGTCCGTCGCTAGGACTGTTCTTAGGGCCCACCTACCTACCTACTGTGCGCCTCGTGCGCCTGCGCGTCCTAGAGCGCTCCTTACCTACCTACCACGCGCACGCAGCTCGCTAGCCGCCCGCGCGTGGCTTTCCTTTTTTTTTTTACCGCGCGCGCCGTACTAGCCGCTCGCGCGCGGCCGTTTTCACGCGTGCGCCCCGCCAGCTGCCCGCGCGCGCTTTATTTTCTTCGCGTGCGGCCCGCCCGGCTGCCCGCAGCCCGCCGTCGCAGAGGCCGCCCGTCCGCAGCCGCCCGTCGCCTGCTCGCGCACGCCCCGCAGCCGCCCGTCGCCTGCTCGCGCACGCCCCGCTGCCCGCAGCCCGCCGTCGCAGAGGCCGCCCGTCCGCAGCTGCCCGTCGCCTGCTCGCGCACGCCCCGCAGCCGCCCGTCGCCTGCTCGCGCACGCCCCGCAGCCGCCCGTCGCC